AGAATAACAAGTCTGTAAAATCCTTTAACTCTCTTTTTAGCATAAAATATATTAAGATTAAACACAGTAATAATAATATCATATTAATAATTAAAAATAAGGATAAATAAACTGTATAACAACAATAATACTCTAAAATTCACTCAAAGACCAAATGGAACTTTTTGGTCCCATATTTCTTCTCAATATAATCTATCCATCTTCTCCAAACCGAAATATATCTTTCTTGTGAATAATCCTTCACATCAGCGGAAATCTTGGCCATTTCTGCTAAATTTGAGACTTTAAGTGACCATTCTTCTATAGTGGGCAGACGTTCCGTTTTCCAATATTGAGCTACTAGTAGTCTTGCAGCCGACAAGGCCCATCTTTTTTGGCTTGCAGCTTGATTTTTTGCTTTGGTTTTTAAGGTTTCTTCCCCTTAGACCATAATACACCACTTACCACTCACGTGCCATAATATGTGAGAACCCAATGGCACCCTAGTCATCAGCTGGACTCTTTGTAATATAACAGATGTTCCTTGTCCATTTTGTTCTTTATCTCCTTGCCTAGTTTAAGCCAAGAAACACAATATGTAGACGAGCATTAGACAAGCACTGCGACTTTCCTGAGTACTGCAATGGGAGTTCGGCTAGTTGCCCGGCCAATGTTTACGTTCAAAACGGGGTCAGTTGTGCCTCTAACACCGGCTTCTGTTACGGTGGATCCTGTCAATCAGCTGACTTGCATTGCCAGGAGTTCTTTGGATCACGTATGTTGGAACAACTAATTTTGATTCTTTTCTGTCCCCTTAAATGCAACCCCCACTGCCTTTTCCCCTGGGATCGCTTTTTGTCTGCAGAAAAATGGCCCTTTTGTATCACCAGCTTTGAATCAGGTTTCTTTATCCTAATTCTCGGCAAGGATCAATTGCCACTTCTCAACTTGCAGATTATCCCAAATAATGGATCCCAGCATGCCTTGGGGAGAAAGAACGTCTCAGATGCCCATCTCCGTTTGTAGCCTGAAACAAAACGGATTGGAGACTTCTCACATTCTTCACAACCTTGTTTATATCTGAAAAGGGCAGAGAAATTATTTTTTGTTGCAAACTATTTGGAGAGGCAGTGATGTGGGAAGTAGTGTAGAAATTGAGTATGAAATGAATAAAGTCAGTAAATGGGGTATTGATACCGACTTCTGGTTGTAAACGCAACTCCTCCTCATCCCTCAAAAGAGAACGCTCTCATCCTCCTTTTCCTTTTAAAATAAATATGCATTTTGGGAAGTTGGCCGCCATGTGTCCCTGCCCTCTGCCCTTTCCACAGTCTCTGCGGAAGCAACTCAACAATGGCATCTGTGCAGCGGGTACTTTTTTTGCAAAGTGTTTTGTAATCAAAGGCAATTTTCTCCTGCCTTCGTCTTTTGTTCTCTTTCTCCCTTCTCTCTCCCACCCTTCAAAAAAGCTATGGGGTTCACCAGAAAAACTATTTTTGTCCCAATGCTAACACACTCTCTCTGGCCGATATGTCCCCACCCAGGGGTAGGCAGCCTTGGCTCTTTTATGACTGGTGGACTTCAACTCCCAGAATTCCTGAGCCAGCGTGGCTCAGCTTGGAAACCTCTCCCTTTCCCCTCAGCATAGCTAGCTCAGGAATTCTGGGAGTTGAAGTCCACGAGTCATAAAAGAGCCCAGGTTGCCTACCCCTGGTCTAGTGCAGTGTTTCTCAATCTTGGCCGCTTGAAGATGTGTGGACTTCAACTCCCAGAATTCCTGAGCCAGCATGGGGGAACTATGGCCCCTTCATGACTCATGGACTTCAATTCCCAGAATTCCTGAGCCAGCATGAGGGAAACTTTGTCTCCTTCATGACTCGTGGACTTCAACTCCCAGAATTCCTGAGCCAGCATGAGGGAAACTTTGGCCCCTTCATGACTCGTGGACTTCAACTCCCAGAATTCCTGAGCCAGCATGAGGAAAACTTTGTCCCCTTCATGACTCGTGGACTTCAACTCCCAGAATTCCTGAGCCAGCATGGCTCAGCTTGGAAACCTCTCCCTTTCCCCTCAGCATGGCTGGCTCAGGAATTCTGGGAGTTGAAGTCCACGAGTCATAAAAGAGCCAAGATTGCCTACCCCTGTATAACAGCTTATTTGATAGGAGTGAATGCGAACCGATTGAAATAAAAACAAAGAAAACCCAATGGTCATATCCTGATATAAGTTATTTTTGCTCTTCTAACCAAACGTCTAGGGTCAAGAAACGCTCCGCAAGTATGTTACGAAGCAGTGAACAGCCAGGCTGATAGATTTGGGCACTGCGGCTTTGATCTCAAAAGGAAATTTAAGACTTGCTCTTTTCGGTATGCGATTAGGCAATAAAGAATAAGTTGAAATGTTGTGTTTTGGGGAGAGGTGCTATTGGAGGGAATGAGATTTGACCCCTGGCCTGAGTTTTAGATAGATAACCTTTTATTGTCATTTTTTTCCCCTGTGGGCACCATGGCACACATTAAAAATGTGCTGGATAAGTGAATGATTCTTTCTGAAGCTGCAGTTGTGTAGAAACAGAAGGGAGCAGTATTAACTGTATAGAATAAAGCTAGAGAGAATTGTTGAGTTGCCGTAGGTCAAACGATCCTCAGAGAAGAGTCCAAAACAGTCAAGAGAGCTAGAATTGTCACCTCCAACCTTTGCCACCAAGGCTATCAGGAAACCTTCTATATATCCATTTTGCTGGAAAGGTGGAAGGAAAAAAATTAGGAACGAAAGTCTGGAATATAGACCTACATAAATAGGCCTTGGTTTCAATGGACTGCAGTATACAAATCTCTCTATGTGGGACTTCATTCTTCTCTGCGGTAACCAAACAAGGAAATGCAGTTTTTGAGTCTTCTGCTAAGTAAGCCCGGGCCTGTATAAAGGATTAAATTGGGAGAGGCCAACTTAGTTCAAAGCCAGGCCTAAAATGAACAGAAGTATTTGCTATAAATGGTGGGGATGGGGGAAAAAGGACCAAACTTGCCTTGTGATGTGACAAGTCAAAGCCTGCCATTTATACGTGTACCTTGACTTTGGACACAAATGCGTAAATTGTGGGGTTTTCATTGTGTCACAATGCGTGTCTTCTCATTTGCTCCCCTGTAGATGGTTGAGGATGTTTGGGCTAGGAAATCAAGAGCAGAACAGTGCTGGTCTGGTGGGTTGGAGAGATTTTAATGCACACTGTATGATTTCCTCTTCTCTTCTCTTCTCTTCTCTTCTCTTCTCTTCTCTTCTCTTCTCTTCTCTTCTCTTCTCTTCTCTTCTCTTCTCTTCTCTTCTCTTCTCTTCTCTTCTCTTCCCTTCCCTTCCCTTCTCTCTTCTCTCTTCCTCCCCTCTGCTCCCCTCCCCTCCCCTCCCTTCACTCTACTCTACTCTACTCTACTCTACTCTACTCTACTCTACTCTACTCTACTCTACTCTACTCTACTCTACTCTACTCTACTCTACTCTGTACTCTCTCCCTTCATCTTCACCTCACCTCACTTTTTACAGGGATATCAGATGTGGAAAGTTAATTTGCACATATCCCTACGACGCTCCTTTTACTAAAATTAATGTTCCCGTCTTGTATATACCGGTGAAGAATGTTGTCTGTGTGTCATTGGACCTTAAACATCGAGAAGGTACACCCGACCCTATGTTGGTGAAAGACGGTACAAAATGTGGACTTGGTAAGGTAAGAAAAACAACCCGGAACAGTGATGCTCTATAGGACATGCAGTCCTCGACTTACAACCTCAACTCAGCCCAAAATTTATGCTGCTGAGCGAGACATTTTTTTAAACTGAATTTTGCCTCCATTTACGACTTTTCTTGCCACAGGTGTTAAGTGAGCCACTGCAGTTGTTAAGTTAGTAGCACGGTTGTTAAGTGAATCTGGTTTCCCTGTTGGCTTTGCGCATCAGAAGGTTGCAAAAGGGGATCACGTGACGCCCCCGGGACTGTCATAAATATGAATCATCTGAATTTTGATCCTGTGACCCTGGGGATGCTGCAATG